TGGTACCATTTTGCATTCCCACCAGCAATGAATGAGAGTCCTGTTGCTCTACATCCTCATCAGCATTTGGTGCTGTCAATTTTCTGGATTTGGGTCATTCTGATAGATGTGTGTGGTATCACTCTGTTGCTTTAATTTGCATTTTTCTGATGATATAGGTTCTGGAGCATCATTTTACATGCTTATTTTCCATTCACATATCATCTTTGGTGAGGTGTCTGTTCAGGTCTTTGGCCCATTTTTTAGTTAGGTTGCTTGTTTTCTTTTTGTTGCACTTTAAGAATTCTTCACATATTTTGATGAACAGTTCTTCATCGAACATGTCTTCTGAAAATATTTTCTCCCAGGGTTTGGCTTTTCTTTTCATTCTCTTAATGGTGTCTTTTACAGAGCAAAACATTTTTAATTTTAATAAAATCTAGCTTATCATTTCTTCCTTTCATGGATCATGCCTTTGGTGTTGTATCTAAAAAGTGATTATTAAACCCAAGATCATCTAGATTTTCTCCTATGTTATCTTCGAGGAGTTTTATAGTTTTGCGTTTTGCATTTAAGGCTGTGATCCATTTTGAATTAATTTTTGTGAAAGTTGTGGTTTTTTTTCAATGTGGATGTCCAGCTGTTCCAGCACCATTTGTTGAACAGACTGCTTTTGCTTTTTTTCTATTACCTTTGTTTCTTTGTCAAAAATCAGTTGATGATAGTTACATGGGTCTATTTCTGGGCTTTTTATGCTGTCCCATTGATCTATTTGTCTATTTTTCACCAACACCACACTGTCTTAATTTACTGTAGCTTTATAGTAAGACTTGAAGATGGGTAATGTCAGTTCTCCAGTTTTGTTCATCAATACTGCATTGGCTATTTTGGGTCTTTTGTCTCTCCATCTAAACTTTTGAACCAGTTTGTTGATAACCACAAAAGTCACTTGCTGGGATTTGGATTGGCTCTGCACTGACTCTATAATCAAGTTGGGAATAACATCTTGACAATATTGAGTCTTCCTGTCCACAGACATGGACTATTTCTCCATTTATTGAGTTTTTCTTTGATCTTGTCAGGGTTTTCTAGTTTTCCTCAGTATAGATCTTAACAGAACAGCAAATACAATCACTGAGACATTGGGTTGGCAGCAAGGAAAGAGTCTGTCCGAGAGGCAGCCAAATGAGGGCAAGTCTCAAACTCACCTCCCCGAAGGGGAAAGAACAAGTTTTTTATAATCGTAGGGGTTGACACTACATACATATTGATGAAATGGATGGGAAAACTTAAAACTCTTCGTGAGGAAAGATAGAGCATGCTTATTGAGCAAACATATGTGTAACACACACCCCACGTTCACTTTGGAGTGGAGACTTATCAGAAGAAGGCAAAATTCAGCCCCTGATGTCAGGAAGTTATCTTAGGACAAGGAGGGGCATGCTCTGAGAGCTGGTATAAACTGGATGAGGTCTGGGGCTTGTTAGCTCAGGTAAGGAATGCACGGTCTTGCTTGTTCATAGGCTGGAACCATATCATTGATTTTGAGTCCAGGCTTCTGCAGACACAACTAGTGGATTTGTTAGTGGGGTCTGAAAAGATACAATAGCTGACTAGGGAGAAATAGTTCTCTGAAAAACAAGCTTTAAATTTTCTACTAGTTTCGACCTTATTAACCCTGTGGGGCACTTACGGTTTTAGATCTTGCACATATTTTGTTAGATTTTTACCTAAATATTCTATTTTGGGCAGGTGCCAATGTAAATGGATTTATGTTTTTAATTTCAATTTCCACTTGTTCATTGCTGGTATACAGGGAAGCTATTGACTTGGGTATATTAATTTGATATTTAATTTGATATATTAATTCATATATATATGGTAGGGTATATAACTTGGGTATATTAATTTGATGTTGCTATTATCACTTCTTAGTTCCAAGAGTTGGTCAGTTCTTTTGGATTTTCTGCATAGATGATCGTGTCATCTGCAAACAAAGACAATTTTATTTCTTCCTTGCCAATCAATATACCTTTTATTTCCTTTCCTTTCCTTTCCTTTTCTTATTGTCTTATTGCAAAGGCTTCCAGCTCAGTGTTGAAAAGCAGTGGTAAAAGGGGACACCCTTGCCTTGTTCCTGATCTTAGTGGAAAATCTTCTATTTTTTCATCATAAACCTGATGTTAGCTATAAGCTTTTTGTAGATTGCATTCTCTGAAATGCAGGAAAGGAAGCACTGTGTAAAGTTATACTTAAATAAAGGATATTGGATTCCATTTCCCCCCTAGTTAGCTCCATGCAGGCCCTCTCTTTACTCAGCTTTAGATCTTCCTCCTGACAGGCATCTTCAGCCCTCTCAGTCCACGTCAATTACAGGTGGTTACATCTGATCCTAGAGCTAATCTGGACTAAGCCAGGAAGTCTACAGGCAGCCAAATGCCTTTACTAATGGAGCTTGGAATTAGTATTTGGTGCTTCTAGAGTAAGTCTTGAGCATTTTCATGGTCCCTGAGTTACAGACTCCTCCTAACTGGGACTTGTTTGGTCCATAAAACTCAATGTCCACCTCACTTCCCTCAGTAGCACCTTAGCTACCTTCCATTTTCTGAAGCTGAGTAAACTAGGTTGGAGCCATGACATCTAAGTGGTTTTTTGCCGGCCCCCATGCTCCTGCAGGAGCTGGTGTTTTCCCATATATTTGCATTTCTGCTCCAAAGTAGACCAGCCACCCAGAATATGATGCTGCGCTCTTACTTAATTGCACTACTGTCATTTTGTTACAACTCCTGCTAAGCCATCCCACCTGCTGGATCCATCCTTTTGGGTCCACAGCCCTTATGATATGATGTACTGTCTGCCTTTAAAGAGCCAGCCCCACAGCTCAATCAGTTTCACTAACCCAGTTGCTGTTTCCTCTCAAAATTATTAGTTTCATCATGCCTTACCTTATTTAATGGTTCTGACTTTCTTTTCACCCTAAAGTTATTGCCCCAGAAAAGGATGTCAGCATCATACCTGATCCTAATTCCTTAGATATCAAACCAAAATTCCTACAGTATGCACAGTCCCGAGATAACTCACATAAAAAAGAAAAAAAAAGTCTCAGTGCCATATTTATTTATGCCTTCTATGAAGAAATTAGGTTACCACCTCCATCTTGATGTCTGTAAACCTGTATTTCCAGCCTCGATCTCTCAAGGTTTCAGATTCATATATTTAACTTCCACCTTCTACCTGGATGTATAACAAGTACATCACATTCAACATATCAGACCCTGAAACTCATAGTTTTCTCTTCTGGCCTCTCTCACTTCCTTGTTCAACAGCAGTTACAATAAAGCCTGCTCCTCTGTATCTGACCCATCAAACTAACTGCCTAAAGTAGAAAGCTGTGCTTCACCTTCTGTTCCCTCAGACCTCACAATCAATCAACCAGTCCCATTAAATATCTCTCCTAACTATTTCTTGAGTGTGTTTATTTCTCTCCACACCACTGCCAACATCCTAATTCAGGCCACCCCCACAATAAACTTCAAACTCCTTAACATTGCATAGCAGATTTATATCTTAAAGTATTAATGTGCATTAATCCATAGTTTCTTGCCTCATCCTGCCTTTTCCTGCAACAAAAACAGTTGGCTACCACATAAAGGTAAAGTACAGAGCATATAAACTTTTACAGATGGAAAACAATAAGCCCATGTCAGATAAATTATTTATTCTAACTCATAGCTTAGTGCTTTAAAAAACTCAACTAAAAAGTCTGCTCTATGGCAAATAAGTAAAATGATACTTATTTTAGCAAGTTGCCAGGCTATATAAATATAGTATACTATGTCAAATAGAATAAATATAGTATACATAGTATACTATATTACTGTAATACTAATATTACATAATTTTAATATTATATTTTTATAAGGTAGATACTATAAATACCTCATTTTTTTGGATGAGGAAAATGATTCACAATTTGTTGAGAAACTAATATATGGTCACAGAGCCAGGATTTGAGCCAGGTTGTTTGCCTACAGAATTTGGGCTCTTAGCCACGGCACTGTGCTATTTCTCCATGTATGGTCTATGGACATTGAAACTTTTATTTTTCATTTTCAAGTTTTATTTGTTAAATCTAGCACTATTTACAATTAGAAAATATTATTCATATATTGCAATACCAATCATATAGAATATCTGGGCAAGGAATACATTATCTCTGTAGAAACTTTACAGATTACAGAAGCAATGTCCTTATAGAAGAAGGACATGGGTTTCCCTGTCTGTATGCAGGAGACACACAAGTGCTAATATTCCACATTATTAACCCTACCCAAAAGACTTACTGGATGCACATATGGACTCTACCTCATTGCTTTCCACTTGTGAATATGTTGTTTTTATTGCTCTATGTCATCCATCCATTAAGCATGTCACTTGATAAACGTTTCTTCTGCAAGTAGCTAGTAAGATTCTTAAGGCCAAGAGTAGTATATTCTATTTATATACTGCAATGAAACCTCCCTCAGTCTTCACACTAAAGCATCAATCCCTCCAATTCTGAATTTCCCTTGAGCTTCACAATGTTCTTCTGAGCTTTGATGTAATGTAATTTAACTATAAATTATAAAGCTGTCTAAAATTAAACATATTCACATCATGTCTGGCAGGAACCTCAAACTCTATAATCCTAAAAACCCAAAGTAACTTAAAAAAAAAAATAAAATCTATGCCTCATTTTTTTTCTCCTTCAGAAGCAAAAAAAAAAAAAAAAAAAAAAAAAATCTTACCCATAACTTCTGGCCCCTAGTCACCAAATTCTAAATTCTGCTATCCCAAATGCCTCTTCTGTCACCTCTTTCTCCTCTCACTGACGCTGACCAAGTTCAGGCCACCATTTTCCTTCACCTGAACCACTGGGACGGCCTCCCAATAGATTGCTCTGAATTCAGTTTGTTATTAGTAGAACCCATCCTTCGTATTTGTACAACTACGTTTCTAAACACGGATATGATCACACTTACTCATTCAAAACAACTTATGCAGAATACAGTCCAAAGTCCTTACTCCGTCGTTCGAAGCTCTCCATGTTACCAGCCTTGGTTTCAATCTAGCTGGCTAGATACTACTGAGGGTAGTACGTCTCCTCGAACATCTGGGATAGCGCCCGTAAGATCTTTTCTCCTCCCCCAACTGTGGGTTTACGTATATGTATTTGTTTTGTTAAATGGGATCATTAACATTAATCTCACACAGGGCGATTGCTCAAAAGGAAATGTGACCACACCCGCTGTGTGTCTCAGCGCTACCATAATTTACTCAGATACTGGCTCCCACGCCGCTTCAGAGCAGTGTCATCATCTTTTGGGTGGACCAGCAGCCAGAGAAGGCCCACCCTGGAGAGTTAACTGGCTTTCTTCTGCCCTGGGGTCTGGAAAGGGAGTCCTGATTTACTTTCAATTCTCCCGAGACAGAACTGACCTGACCTCAAAAGTGCATGAGATCTACATGGGTAAAAACGTGGCCAAAACAACAACAACAACAACAACAACAACAACAACAACAACAACAGGTCTGATTTCTTGCATCATATTATCATGCCTCGGTATTACAAGTAATTGTGTTAACATAAGCCTGGAAATCAGAACACATCCAACAGCGAGAATTCCCAGAGCAGCGGCGGCCTAGACCTGCGGGGGGCGGGGGGAGGCGGGGGGCTTAAGTCTCGCGAGAGAGCAGGCACAGGCGCTGTGGTCTCCCTGGCTCTCGCGAGAACCAAGCTTCGTCTTCCCGTTCCCTGAGACAGCGGTGGCGTCTCCAGGGGCAACAGCAATGGCGGCCCCCTTGTCCGAGCGGCTCTTCTCGCTGGAGCTGCTCGTAGACTGGGTGCGTCTTGAAGCCGGGCTGCTGCCGCCGCCGCCCGTGGTCGCGGTGGAGGAGGAGCAGGAGGAGGCCGAAGAGGAGGAGGCATCGCCGCCACGGCCATCGCGCGACTTGTGCCCCGCCGTGGCCTTCCGCCTGCTGGACTTCCCCACGCTGCTGGTTTACCCTCCTGAAGGCCCCGGCGCCCCAGCCCCGGAGCCCCGGCCCGGCCTGGTCAGCTTCGGTCGCGGCAAGTCCTGTCTCTTCCGCCTGCACCCCGCCACCCTGCACCGCCTGCTCCTTCGGACCCCGCTTCACACCCTGTTACTGCAGCTGCCCCCTGGGCGTCCGACTCCCGCCCCACAGCTCCTGGGTGCCTGTAGCATCTCGCTGGCCGCCGCCGCCCACAAGGTCCTGGGACAGGCCGCCTCCGGCTGCTCCCAGGGTCATCGAGGAAATTTCCCTCTGCATAACCAAGCTGGGGATCGGATTGGGTACATTGCTCTGGGCTACCGCTTGACCGATTTGGGAAGCAGCTTGCTGGGCCATCTTGAGAGGCCAGTTACTTCCACAGGAGGTGGGGTGGAGCGTGTAGAGGTCAGTTCCCAAACCCTGCAGGAAAAACAGCAACCAAACTCAGAGCCAAGAGCGAGAGATGCTGATAGGTTTCTCGTGGGTTTAAAAATCCCAAAGGTACAGAAGGATTTGGAGGAAGGAGCTTCCCACAGTAAGAACAACTCTGGTAACACGGTTTCTGTGAAGCATGGCAAAACCAAGTCTGTTTGTTCAAATTCTAGTGGTGTGAGGAGCGTTAGCCCCCCAGATCAGGAAGTCACAGAGTTAGACATTGAAACCAACACTTTTTGCCCCCCTCCTCTGTATTACACTCATTTGACCCAAGAAAAGATGTCTCCTGTACAGGGTACAATCACCATTAAGCCTCAAATAAATGTACCTGAGGAATTGGATGCTCTTTTTCTAGAGGAAAATCATGCAACTGCCCCAACACATACTGATTCTCTGAAACCTACTAATTCTGGGTTACATGAGAATCCTCCAGTGCTCATAAATGCTCCGCATGTTCAGGATATAGGAGCAAGTGATCAAACTACAGATCATGCTCAAACTGAACAAAATAGAATTAATACAGTAAGGCAGCTGCCTTTGTTAAATGCTTTGTTGGTTGAGTTGTCCGTGTTATACAACCAACCTGTGGCAAGCCCTACTCAAATACATCCTCACTTAGCCTGGTTATATAGAACTGAGGATAAGAAGTCACCAGAATGCACATGTAAATCTGAATCTAAGGATCGGCTTTCTATGGGGGGAAATGAAAAGTCAGCAAATCTTCAGTATAAAAAGAACCAAGCTGAAAATCTCAAAAAAGGTAAATATTTTGAAAAGAACAGTGGTAACCCCCCCCACAGAGTTGCAAGGGGGAAGTTGCTTTACGGTTTAACAAATACACTTAAACTACGTTTAAAGCAGACAAATCCTGATATGTTGGTAGTACATGAAAAAAGAGAGCAGTATAGAAAAATGCAAGCACAGATGTTAGGTGCAAAACTCAGAACTCCACCATCCAAAGTTAAAGTATTAAGCTTTGCAGAACAACATCAGAAGCCACACCAACTGCCGAAAGATAAGTGTTTGGGATTAGATGCATCTTTTGCTGAAAACAGTGATACCTCAAAGCAAATCAGTGGAGTTTTTGATGACCATAGCACAACTAAAGAAACTAAACTGAAATGTGCAACTGAAAAAGCTGTAGATTGTGGTGAACATAGAGCCAATAATGGTTTATTGGAAGAAATTGTGAGTCCTGCAAATTCCATTGTCCCTGAAGGTTTTACTCATGCAAGTATTTTGGAAGGAAAAATGGAAATGAAAGTCCAAAGTTCATGTGTTTTCCAACAGGTTGCAGTTGTTAACAGAATTGTAGTAGATAAAGAAATAGAGGATAAACAGGTCAAAACCACCGATGATGACACTCTTATTGATGATATCAGTGAAAATAAACCAAGTAAAAATAGTTGCTCTGAAAGCATCTCAGAATTAAAGTATTCTGATGACTTCACCAGCCTTTGCTCTTCTGAAGATTTCTATACCACTGAGGACACTAGCAGAATTTTACAAGCTCATGATAGCAGTCCAGGGGCAGAAAATCCAAAACATAACCAATACACAAGTAAGTCTAGTGAAACAGTACTGTCCATAAGAAAAAACAGCAGTGAAGAGAGTTCTATTCTTAGCCCACCTTTTTCAGCTGGATCACCAGTACACTCATATAAAAGATCTCTTATTTCAAAGATTCAAGATAAAAGTTTGGAGGAAACGTCTAGTATCTCTAGCAGTGATTTATCTTCATCACACTGGATTGAGGAAAAAGAAAACCAGAGAGATCGAAACAGTATGTGTAATTCTAAAGTTATAAAGAGGGGTCAAGACATCTCTATTAAACTTAAAACAAGAACTGGTTGCAAGTCTTCAGAAAAAAGCCAGTCACCTCGGACATCTCAAGTGAGTTCTTATCTGCCATCTAATTTGTCAGAACTAGAACTTAATGTCCTGGATAACAGTACACCAGATCGCTTTGACGAAGATGATGAAGTTGCTTCACTAAGTATTTCCAAACAATGCAAAGATATTTGCGAATTAGTGATAAATAAACTTCCAGGATATACAGTGTGAAAATACGTGCTTTTAAAAAAAATTTCATTTTTGTATAACCTATGTGTACTGTTAGTGAAACAGTTTTTAATATTTTAGTATATAATATTTTAGTATATAAATTACATGAGTAATTCTTTTTAAGAAATATGTTATTTTGATGTCTAGATAGTATTTATTAAATTGAACAATATTAATCATGAAATCACCTTATAATCTAGGTAAGATTTAAGTTGTTTAATCTTATAAGAATAAAAGTATCTTTCTAAACTCTCAAAGTATCTATCTGAAAGTATCAGTCATCCTAAAGCTGGCTTCAGGCACACCATTACAAAAAGAAGGCTAGTTAATAAGGATGACCTCAGATTTTAATGGGAATAAGTCATTTAACAAATATAGAAGAACTTACTCTGTGAGATGCAGAAAGGTACAAAAATATTTAAGATATAGCCCCTGTATGTAGAGCTTACTGTTTTATATAGACATGAATTCTTTAGGGAAATCTTAGATACATACACATCCCATATCCCCAACAGATGAAGTCCTTTTTTATATGTTGTCATTGTGCTCTGTACTTTTTTTTTTTTTTTTAATGCAGTTTGTGTGATGACTTGATTAATGTGTATCTTCTGTTAGGCTTCAGTTTTGTGATGGAAGGGACCATATCGGTTTTGCCCACCAGTGTAGTATGTTCTTAGTATCTAGCACAGTCTAGTATGTGGTTGGGGTGTGATGATAGCATGTGTTGAACAAATTAATGAAGGCCATGCATTTAAAATAACCTGATGGGAGGGAATAGAATTAAGTAAACAAGCAAAAATCCTGAGAATAAGCAGCAGAAAATCCTTATTGGAAACATGGTTATTTGACTACAATATTTTTGTTTTGCTGTGTATAAACAGCCTGCAGGTGTTCAACAAATATTTAGGGAAGGAAGCTAAGAAAGGTGTCTTCCAGTTTCTTATATAGAAATTCAATTTATTGTTGTCATTTCAGGTTGTTCCATAGTTATTTTTAAAGTATGAAAGTTTGTTTTTAGGAAGTCTAGTGATCATTTCTTTATAATTTCTTCCCATTGGTTTTGTACTTAGACCTTATTCTGTGTTCAAATGTTTACATGTAGTTTTTTTATGTGTTTTATTTTAATTTTTACGCTTTTTAATATATCTGATATTTTTGGATGTATGAAGTGAGGCCCTAATTTTCCTTGCTTTATAAGTAATTAAATAACTATGTAAGTATTATCTTTTGAATGATAATAACAGATAAAATGTAGAAAGGTGGTAAGAGATGAGGATGTTATATTTTGAGAAACAATACGAATAAAAGAAATATGGGAATGAGCGTAATGTATTCATGGGACTGTGAAAATATCGTGATTCGAATGGTAGATTCATGCTACAGAGTGGTAGAAAGGAAATTTGTTGAGTAAGAAAAGTCCCAGATTGTAGGGAGCTTCAAATGCCAAGCATAATAATAAAGACCTAAGCAATAGAAACAATAGAGTATTTCACAAATGAGCACCGATATATAGTCATAACATTTTGAGTATTATAAAGTACTAAAATAATTTCTGGGAGGCATGGAAATTATACCAGTAAAAGTTTTGAAATATGAAATGCTTTTTAATGGCTAATGGCTATGATCTTAATTTTTCAGTTAATATAAAGCATCTACTATATCATTCTAGAAAAAGTATTTCAATGCTAGGTACTGTAGCTAGATATCAACTTGGTATGTAAATTGTTAGCAATTTTTCATTACTATGGAAGAGACAAAAATATAAGCAATAATGTCAAAATCATTAAAGAAATAACTACTT